TAATTTTGATTATTATTCCTGTATGTTTTACCAGTTATCAATCTTATTATGCATATTTAATAATCTGAACAATTAAAAACAGAAGTTACTGAATAAAGCCTGACAAAACTTAATGCCTCTAACTTAACACAGTTAAGAATCAGACTGCAGCCGGGTGGTGGTGGCGCACGCCTTTAATCCCAGCACTCGGGAGGCAGAGCCAGGCGGATCTCTGTGAGTTCGAGGCCAGCCTGGGCTACCAAGTGAGTTCCAGGACAGGCGCAAAGCTACACAGAGAAACCCTGTCTCAAAAAACCAAAAAAAAAAAAAAAAAAAAAAAAAAAAAAAAAAGAATCAGACTGCAAACATTATTCATTCATTCCCCTTAAGCATTAAGTAGAGGCAAGATACATGTTTCCAAGCATTTGATACTTTAGGATATTTTGAGTCAAATCATGCTTTAATTTCAAGTCTCAAAATTATTTCATTAATTTGTGATCAAGTTAAATAATAGGCTCTATTGAAAAGAATGCAATGTAAAATCTTGAAAATTTGAAAAAATGCAAAGTAAAATTTTCTTTCAGTGACTGGATGGGCAATGTATATATTCAAAATGTAGAGAAGAATAGCCATTGAATCAAGAGAACTGCCTGTAAAAGTGATAATATTCCTTAGTGCTGAGAGTCCAGGTGTGAACTGCTACATCCAGCTTACAATATATACTTCGAAAATGTGAGCTTCAGGCTAAACTAGGAAGATGTTTCAGGTGAGCAACTCCACTAATCATGAAACACCAGAGATTTCCACAATCTCAGCCAAAAATAGACTGAATTTATCACTGTACAGGTTTGATAAGAAAGGGCATTTATTGTTTATTAGGCAATGTTCTGGAGAATTCATGTGAGGATGATAGTGTCCAACTCTGAAAACTGAATATAGCAACATTTTTCAACTTCAGTATAAGATAAAATGAAATCAAAATTACCGCATGGCCGCTGTGAACAATGCAGGGCCCCTGACCTAACTAAATCAAGTGCCAAGCCAGCTGCAGAAAAGGCCATGGAGTTAACTAGCTTACTTATGTGTGTGCAAGAAAGGAAATTATGACAATAGAAGACTTGGGGAGCAACTGGGAATGCTTTTCAATGGGGAAATAGGCCATTTCAGTCATTAGTTTTAAAGGGTGTTTGTTCTCCCATCAATTTTCTATGTTAATGACATAAAATTAGCAAATCACATTTCTACTCACCAGTTGCATAAAATTGTGAAATCTCAAGAGGTGCTCCAGTGTCATCTCAGGGTAGAGAAAGAGACTTATCCAACTTGCCCTGTGCATCAAGAAGACTATAAACTAGGTGTTAAGGTACACGACTATAATCCTGGAACTCTAGAGGCTGAGGCAGAAGGATCAAGAGTTTGAGGCCAGGCTGAGTCACATAGTGAAATACTATTTCACACAAACAAATAAAAACAAAATAAAATAAAGAAATAAGAATATAAAGGAAATGTAAATTTAACTTATTTTTTTTTAATTTTGTTCCATTTTAACAAAATTCTCTAACAAGTAATTCCACTTATTAAAGCCATATTGTTCTAAAATAAGACGTTCACCTATGGTTACTTATACTATTAGTCAATAAGGATGTCCTAATCTTTTGAGAGTTAGTTGTGAAATACTGTGGTACTTCCTAAAAGATAATGTTGTAAACACTGACTAAATAATTCAGGAAAATTATGCAGAAGCTATTTTGAATTCTCTTACATATTCAGAATGCATGCTTGACAACTGGAGATTCTAAGGAATGCTATCATTCAAAAATCTAGTTAAATTTGTTTGCCATGGTGGTTCTTATTTAGTATTTCATATATGAATTTTTATTTGATGATATTTATTAACATATATACAGCTAAGAAACTTGGAAGAAACATTGCAACAATCGAGAGCCTGTCATTAGATGCTATGATACCTTTTCTTTTTTTTTAAGATTTTATTATTTATTTATGTATATGAGTGCTTTATCTGCATTTACAACTTTATGCCAGAAGAGGACATCAGATCCCACTAGAGATGGTTGCGAGCCACCATGTGGTTGCTGGGAGTTTAACTCAGGACCTCTTAACCACTGAGCCATCTGCCCAGCCCCTCTGATAGCTTTTCAAATTTGAGCATGACTTATTTTTGTTTTGCGTAAAATTGTGAGTCATTCTGATATTAACTAGAATGAAACAACCCACAGTTAAATAGATTTATCATTATGGTTTAGCTTCCAGAATAGAAATTATTGAAATATACTGGAACTAAATAGTTTGTTTGTTTTTTTTTTAAGTAAAATCACCATTAAGGGAAACTATACTCAACATAAAGTACGGTGTACACAAACTCCTATTCCATATAAAAAAAAAAAACAAAAACAAAAACTTCTGGGTTTCTCCAATATCCACATTTATATCCACCTCTAATTTAAACTGGATCTCAGTTTAGAAAAAGAAAGAAATCAATGTAGCAAAGAAAATATCCAAAGAATCTGTAGCAAGGACTTAGTCCTGCATTGCAAGACACCACCTCCTAGTCTTTAGATGGTGAAATAAGTACAACGTGTGCTCCTCAAAGACTTTAAAAGAAAGGTAAAAAAAAAAATTTTAAGATTAAATTTGACTGTAGTAGTCTTCAATTTTCACCTTAGAATTTAATGCTCACTCCCATGTATACTTTATCAGAATGATACCAAAGTTAAATAGTATGTATTAGTTCAGAAATTCTTCCTTCATAGGGTTTTAGCCAAGTGCTTTTGAATATTAGCAAATTCTAGTTCCAATTAAAATACTGATGGCAAAAGCTTGATTAAATATTTAAAATATTGTTATTCAAATTATATGTCTGCAGATATTTTCATTCATTTAAAAAATGAATGAAAATTAGGAACAAAATAATTGGAAGTTGGACTAACTTTCAGTGTGTAATAAAACACTTTACTTGTAGTAAGAACATTTTTCATTATTTAGTAAATATTGATTTGAATGAAATCATAAGCATATTTTTAAAGATCATTATTAGTTTACTAGATAATGTAAGTTCTGTATCTAAGAATGTTTAAATGAGACTTTGATTGTAATGCACAATTATTACACAAACACTTTTCCTACCATGTGCTTTTACAAACATCAAAATATTTACATGTTCTTATGTTGTTGCTCTATGTGGTAGCATGAACCTCAGAGAGTAAAGCCTAAAAATGAGGCAGACTAAAGTCTCATGTAATAACAATTTTATTCAAGGCATCAGACAATTTATGTTGTGAGGGTATTCTGTGGGCTAAGCAAGGTCATGTAAGCAAAGCTCACTTGAGTCCGACTTGTATATAGTCACAAGGGCAAGGTCACATGAGTTTAGGCTGTATATAGTCAGGAGGACAACTCATGCTTGAAAACCTCATTCTGAACAAGAATGGGTAAGATGATGGATAATCTGAGGTAAACCCACTCCTATTTATTACACCTGGAAGGGGCATTAAAGCACATTCCAAGACCATCCCATGTTATGGAGGAACAGAGGTTACCAGACTCTTGTCTTGTTTACTTGGAGTTGTCTCACTAGCTCTCAGAAATGTCACACAGCTTCATTCATGGACTGTGTTCCAATATTCCTGTAAGAAGAATACTACGATGTTTTACTAGAATGATTTAAGCCCCAAATCCTGAGTTATTTTACTATAATTTCTAAGATAATTCCATTTTATTCCCCCCAACTTTAGGTAATATGTGTGTGTGTGCTATGTATATGTATGCATACATATATGTATGTGTGCATTCACACATATCTTTCCTAGTCTTTTTAAAATAATGTCTTTACATTATTTCTGTGCTTAAAGTATAAAACATTCTCAATTAGAATGCTTTCTGCATATATTTTAGAAACTAAAATGATTGAGATAATACAATTTTACTATCTATCAGTACTATTCTCCTTGACTTGTTAGCCCAAATTTCATTGACATTTGCCTTATTTTATGCCTTTATATCTATATTTTGAGCTACAATACCCACACATTATACTTGGTTATATGTAAATCCTACTTGTGCAACTAAGTTTTATGATATCAGAAATTGTTTTTAAATAAGACTATTATTGTTGAATGTTTAACAACATAATTTGAAGTTTGATCAATGAATTCATCATTAAAAGGAGAACCATCACAGTAAGTGTGGGGCCGGTAAAAGGACATGGATTCCTTTTTAAAAATTTATTTATTTTACACAGGGCTGTAGTTTTTCCTTTCAGTCCCTCCCCCCAACCTCCCTCTGTCCCCACACCTCAGTCCACTCTTCCTCTGTTTCTCTCTAGGAAAGGGCAGATCTCCCATGAGTATCAACAAAACATGGCATATTAAGTTGCAGTAAGACTAAGCACCTCCCCATGTATTAAGGCTGGGCAAGGTGACCCAGTATGAGGAGGAGGGTCCCAAAAGCCAGGAAAAGAGTCAGCAACAGCCCCTGTTCCCACTGTGAGGAGTTCCACAAGAGGAACACAACTGTAGCACATAGCAGAGTGCCTAGGTCAGTCCCATGCAGGCTCTCTGTTGTCAGTTCAGTCTCTGTGAGCTCCTGTAAGCCCAGGTTAGTTGATTCTCTGGGTTTTCATGTGGTGAAGGGCATGGATTCCTAAGAAAATGGTAATCGTGAACAGCTGTTACTCTCTATGCAGAGAGAGTGGGCAGACTAGGCTTCAAGTTACATGAGCGAAAACATGCAAAGGAATATAGAAAAAAATGGGTCTTCTAAAGATCTATCAAATGTAATAATGCCCATAGTGGTTAAAAAAGCAGAAAATGTCAAAAGAAATGACTGATTTGATTTTTTTAAAAAAAGAGTTTTTTCTAATTACTTGCTGAATAAGACAGAAAATTAGAGTTCATTCAAATAGAGGATAAAAATATTTGATACAAGAATATTGCAAAAGGAAAAACTAAAAATGACTAAGTCTGGCTTATCTGGCTTTTAAATGCTGTTTCATTTCCCTGTAGAATGCCAGAATCCCCCGGTGATGTTCCCGAATATCCATTGTTCGTCACAGTTGGTGACTGGTTGGATTCTATAAAGATGGGTCAATACAAGAGTAACTTCATGGCAGCAGGCTTTACAACGTTTGATCTGATTTCAAGAATGAGCATTGAGTAAGTAGTTCTAGGCTTATTGCTGTAATTAGATATTCTGCTCATGGAATTTCAAATTCACATGTCCAATCAAGAATACCTTTCCTAAGGCTAGTATGTGATTTCTCTCATTATCATTCCAGTGGAAGCTGAAAGTTACACTTTCAACTATTATTCTTTTAAAGAATATATTTAATTCGAATGGATGTGTGGCATTGTTGTAAATGCTTCCAAAATACATGCTGATCTTATTCACATCATAGACATTATCATCGACATAGTGTTTGTTGCCTTGGTAAAATGCTATTCATATATACTAATAAAGCATAATTAGTTCCTGCTACCTTCATTAAAGCAATCTCCTTATAGTGTTACTTTGCCGTTTTAGAGATCCTTCTGTGTATTATCATGTTCAGACATCTTCAATTGTCTCAAAGATCATTCTTTGCCTACATCCAATAGAAATGTTCAAAATGTGGATTAAAGATATTATAACAATGGAGCCATGTGAAACTGCCATTGTTTTAAGATAGGAATGTAACTTTATATGGTTCAAAACAATGACAGTTTCTTAAGTCAAATACTGGCTTTTATTGATTCTTATGAATTATTTCTCATATATGCACAAACAAGTACGGAGACTAATGTAAAAAATTTCAGGGTACCCACCACCAAGTTTATGAGATAATCCATTCATAAGACAGTTGAAGCTCTGTGTGTACCCCACTTCCACCACAGCTCCCACCCCCATCCCAAGGTCATCCCTGTTCTGTATTTAATGTTTATTAGTCTATGTGTATCTAATTTACATATTTCATGTAAATTTAAAAATTCAGTCAAGAGGTTATGTTTTGTTCTTGCTTTTCTCACCCAACGTTGGAGATTCATTTGCGTTCATGCCGATAAATCTAGTTCATCAGTTTGGGCTACTGTGCAGGACTCCACTGCTTTTAAAATCTGTCTTAGTGCAAGGACTTTTGAATTGTACAATTTTTGTATCCATTTGTGTGTGTGTGTGTGTGTGTGTCTCTTAAGCACAGCAGTGCAGTTGCTCTGGGGTTGTAGAACATGTACATTTCCACAAAATTACTAATTTTGCTTAATGTCATTTTCATACCCATATTATACCTCTACCCTACATGCTCTGTATTTTCTATGACTGTTGCAAATCTATATAACTAATTGAATTCTAAATAGTCTTATGCCAATAGAAATGTAAACATTCTATCTGGATATGGAATTTTTCTTTATATCATTAAATTTGAGATTACATGAATTTTAGAATATTTTATGGAACAAGGGAGAATAAAATAAACAATTTTTGCTATCCATTTATATGACTACTTAACAATTAACCAACACATTTTTTGTCAAATGTAACATGGCATATATTTAACATAGCTAAGTATTCATTTTCTCTGACTTGTATTTATTAAATCTATATGCTTAAAATCTCTCTCTCTCCCCCCCTTCCCTTCTTCTCTGTCTCTTCTCCCTTCTCTCCCCCCTCATATTCTCTCAGTGATATTAGACGAATTGGAGTCATACTCATTGGACATCAGAGACGAATAGTCAGCAGCATACAGACTTTACGTTTACATATGATGCACATACAGGAGAAGGGATTTCATGTATGAAAGTACTATAAACACCTGTATTTTGTGCCTCAGCATTTCTACAAAGAAAGATATACCCTCTACGACTCATTGTTCTGATTCTCCAGACATCCCTTCACAATCCACAGTCTCCTCTTCAGACTATGGCTGCACACCTTAGGTTTATGCTTCCATCCTGGATTTAAGTATCACGCTACAACAGGTCCTCTCTGAATAGCCTGCAAATGAAACTCTGGTCCACTGCAGATTACCACTACATAATGATAAATAACTCAGCATGAATGTATAACTTTGTATAGAAATGTTTGGAAAGTGTTCATGGACTTAACCTAAAGGAATTTGTCCAGGTGTGGCATCTTCAAGATGTATGTAGAGTTTGACGATAGATAAGAAAGAAATAGTTGATCATTCTTCCATGTTTTGTGATCGAGTAGCTTCCAACTTGACATGCTTCTTTTTCGATAGTTTTACTCAACTCTACGGGTTGTACTGTTGTTTTATTTTTAATACCTTAACTGTTGGTGCCTGATGTTGTTACAACGATTTGCAGAAACGATCAATGATTCCATATAGTGCATTTGTGTCAGGTGTGACTACTGTATGAAGGGCATTGTTGGGGAGGGAGATGGACAAAAATACTGTGCTTTTAAATATTCTAAGGCTGGGTTTGTCTATATTTTTAAATTGACTTTATAGGGTTATACATATTTCATAGTAGGTGGTTGTTTAGAGGCTTTTCCCCCCTCTAATTTTTTACTAACTATACTGTATTTCTCTAGTATGTTACAAGAATAACCCTTGGAAAGACCAAGAGTGAGCCCATTACTCTGATAGTTTTCATAGACAGATGCATGGAGTATATCTATGGCTGTTCCCTTGGATTCATCTTCACAAGTTTGAAAAACAATTATCAAAGCGTTGAGAAAGTTAATTGTTCACAATGAAAAATTTTTAAAATAAAAGGTCTAAAATGGTAGCCATAGATTAAATTGGAAATTATTTATTCAATTTAAGATAGCTTGCAGTGGCCTAAGGTAATAAACACATGGAGTTGATTGATAACCACTGTATTTTCCAACTTTAACAATTCCAATATTTTTGTTCACAAAAATAAGTTACATGAACACTCTGAATGGTTTTCCAAATCTTCTAAGAAATTAGTATGGATAACATAAACATGATATAAATATATCTCACATTAAGCATATATATGCATATATACATATATATAATGTGTAAACCTTGGTCCATCATAGTATATAAAAATAAGAACACATTTGAGATGTGTTGTCATAATCTTCTCTGAGGCTTGCAGCAAAAAAAAAAAAAAGCAAATATATTTTTCCAATGAATTTGTCAGCTTATCAAAATAGTGCTCCTTTTAAGATAAACTCAACCATAAAATCATCTGCTCCCTGTGAAACTACAAAAATTACCATTGTGATGAGTGAAGAATAACTGGAAGAAAAATGCAGATCAGATTGTCTAAAGAGGTGGATTGAGTGAACCAATTTTTATTTGATGTCAGAGACAAAGGTATCCTCTTCACATACACAAATTCCTACCTAAACTTTCCTAAGAAAAGATAAAGTTATTTCTATTTAAGGACCCTCACTTTTCCTTTTATTCTTGTTTGTAAGATTTTTTTTTCTTTTCATATGAGATCCTTTTATATAATTTCTTTACCTGACTCATCTTCTTGGGTTTTTTCCCTCCTATTGCTTAACTATACAGAAAAAGGAAAGAATGGAATTCCATCCCTTTTTAAGTAAGTGTGTCAGAAATAGCTACTAATATTTTCTAGCCACCTACATGCATGGCCATGTATCACTCATAGACTCTCTGCAGTTTGCCTGATACATTTACACAAATCTGGATACATTTAGGGGAAATACAAAATTTCCATATTTATCTGTCTTTAAATATCTATAAAATGATAACAGATGTAAACAGATGATTAAATTTATTAATCATATATATTTATTTTTATAATACAACAAAAGGTATTTAGAAAAATAAGAAATAGAATAATATGGTCCATCATAGGACTCTGTCTGCAGCATCTGTATGCCTTGATATAAATTCTATAATAGTATTTAAAATTCTGTGGAATTTACATTCAGTGATGGCAAGATTAAAAATCTGTTAACATTCTTCTTTTAAAAGTCTGATGATGCAATTCTATTTCTATTTAATTTGCATTTCTATGTCTTTCCTGATTTATTACAAAATTCTCTTTCTACTCTCTATCTCCATATCTTCTTCCAAGTTTTATAAAATTACATTTTTAATTTACCAAGCTATGCGCATGATAATGTTAAGTGTAATTATGAACTTCATTATAAACAGAACAAGGCAGAAGTATGTGCAAAATTAAACAGAAATATTAAATTATAAGAATATCTATTTCATTGCTGCCTAATGGTCATGCACCCTATGATTCAAGAGGAATTAAGATCTGGGGATATGAATGGTTAAAACACCAAATGCAGTTGGCAATATAACAAGAAACAATCTGAGATTTCTTTGGTGCCTACGATCAATAACAAGTATAAGACAAAATAAGCTAATGACTTTCATAATTACAGTTAGGAATAACTTCTTATATCTAGAATATGCATATACATTATGTACTTGCTTTTAAAAAATCTTAGTCAATTCTAATGAGTGAGTTCTTAGAATTTTGAAAATCAGACCGTGTAAATTTTTTATTTTCTCAAAGTCAACTTCTGGTCTATAGCCAAAAAAATGTACAATGAAGAATGAAGGTGGTGTATTTAAATCATTCAGCTAAAAAATATCTGAAATGATGACAGTGTAGCAGGAAGGAAGAATTACAGAAAATTTGCAAAGTTTCTCTGGAACTGCTGATAAATGTGTTGTGCATGCTATAATCACAGATTTATTACACTGTGTATCACTTCTTAAAATCTACCCAGCTACAAACTGAATAAGGCAGCATTCCAATCATAACTCTAAAGCCTCACATAGCCCATAATAGAAAAAAAGTGAAATTTAATCTGTGAAAAGTTAAGTTTTTATAAAGCTCTCTATGGCATTGATAGTGAAGAGGAAATTGCATAACATCCAACCTGTGTTCTAAACGTCTGCTTTGATACCTTTCTCTATTAAATTTATGCTCTGGGAGAAAATCAGTTAAACTCTCAACTCAAGATTTTTACCAGTATTGCCTTTTTTTATTCCTTTATTAAATTTTTCAGCCCTCTCCATTTTTTGTTTAAATCCCCTCTTCAATCTCCTTCTGTTTCAGGTTCTATCAATACACTCATTATATCAGCACAGTGAAGCAGAGCACGTCTAAAAATGCCTTGTAAGTTTCCATAGAAGGGGCAGGATGGCAGGGCAGGTTGGAAAAAAGTATACTTTTAACATGTTAGGTCTCAGCATACAAATGGGAGCCCTTCAAGTTAGAAGCTGTGAGCTCTGACTTTGCTTAACAGAAAACTACGCACAAAGGGAGGAAATTCAAAATAGATTGTTCCTTCACCTTCGGTGAGCTAAGTCTAATACTAATTGAAAAGAAATTAGTATTTTAATAATCCACTGTTAACTTATAGGGGATCCGTGTTTTTATACATAAAAGAGATTTAAAGCCGATAGAAGCATGATCCTAATTAGTCTTAATAATAAAAACCTAGAGTCAGTTATCAGGGTAAAAGCTGAAAGATCAGAGAAGCAAAGGAGCAGCAGCCACAGTCACCTCTTACCTCTCCAACTCCTCAGACTGGAAAGGGCAGAGCTCCTGTGTCTGCCCCGCCTTATCACTTCCTCTCTCTGCCCAGCCATATCGCTTCCTGTCTCCTGTTTCTACAGACCTCCAGACCTTTATGGTTGACTAGTGACTAGCTCCAACTTCTGATTTTCAGGCAAGCTTTATTTGTCAGAACACAAACAAAGTATCACCACAGCAGATATATCAGTTCTTATATTATTATCTCCTTAACTTTCACAACTACATGAAATTTCATGTAGTCAGATAAACTCTTACTCATAATTAATCAAAACATATTTGATACTTTTTTTAAACAGTAGAGAAGTATACTGGTTACAACTGGGGATGTTCATTTGTCCTTCACATGTTCAAGTCATATAACTTTTCCATTTTATGATCAACATTTCCAACATACTTTCTGATTTTTATAATGTTCAGAAAGGTATAGGTTTTATTTACTGTAGTTGAACAAAACAACATGCCTCCCATACACATTATTTTTTCACAAAAATGAATTTAAGTATGCTGTTATTGGCTACTATTAATCCCTGAGTTTAAATTTTAGAGATTGGAGCCTCTTTGCAGTTTACTATGGTGACTCTGTCATGGGGGATTGGATCTTGCTATAGAATAAAACTAAACAAACAGGAGCTAGTCAAGTGTGAAGTGCATTTTCAATTCCTGTTAGAAAGATGTATTTTGAATCTTGGAATCTCTTAAAATTCTTCTCAAACATCCATTACTCTGTTTGGTAGAGGGAATCAATCATACTTGTGTGTTCTCTAAGATACTCTCATCAGAAGTCAGTCCATATATGAAATCATTCTTCAGATAGCCTATAAAAACATCATTTTTTTCAAACCAAACCTGAAAGTAATCTTTCACCTGAGCTAATTTTTCTAGCAGATGTAATGTATGCACTTCAAAGCTTGTACAAAATCCTTTCCGACAGGATCCATTAACCAGGGAAAGAAGTGATTACCCATGACTAGAATGAACAGAGCCAAAGGGAAGAAAAACCTCATGTTGCATAAAAATATATTGCGAATTCCTCTCACTGTTCCCTTTAAAAATCAAGACTTTAGGCAGATGTTTTAAAGATTTATTAGAAAAACAGTAGGGTTTTGTTATACAGAGATCTGACATGATACATATGTCTCCTGGGAAACAGAAAGTTGGAAAGGTCTAGAAGTCACAGGTTGTCTAGATGTAATTGAACTAACCTCTTTTACTGACTAGTACTTAGATTCAAATTATCAATAGGTCAAATTATTTTGAAACTTTTTATTGAGTTATATATATAAAAGCTTGAGTTCTTTGCCCTTGGATCAGGTGTTTTTTATTTGGTTGGCAGATTTCTCTTTTGAAATCACAGAATGTAACTAAAAGTTTAGCTTTTCAAGTTACTGCATTTAAAATGAAACAAGTAAGTTAAGAGAACTTCAATGTCTAAGGGAGGTAAAGGACTTCTAAATAAACCAGTTTTTCCAAAAGAATCTGACAACTACAATACTTGTGCATCTCAGTGATATCAAGTCACTCCTACTTTATAATAAATAACACTTTCCTAATAAAAGCAATTTTTATAGCGAAAACAAAGCAATGTCCTTTCTTAAATTGCTATACTCATTAGTCACACTGCCATCTTTTCTTCAAAAAAAGAATCTTTGATTTGTTTCATATTAAGAGAAATTTTCAAAGGATAATTCTCCTACTCTTATGTACAACCAATTTTTTTAAGAATATCAGAGCCACTAAAGAAATAGTACCAGTCATAAAACAGGATAAAGGATAACACAATACAGAGAGTTGTGCATACTATGAAGTATGCACATCCATCCCTAGGGCAAATTGTTTCCAGTTTTGTATTATCAAATAAGGTATAGGTTAACCATACATTTATCCCACAAGTTGTAAATTCAACAAGTATTTATTCTATTAATGATACTCTCTCAAGTAACATATCTGTCCTTTTCCATGTTTCTATATCATACTTATCTTCTAGTGGTCTTTAATTTGCCACAATCGAATTCTAGTTGGTGTGTTATCAAACCAAATAGAAAATCAGAATAACAAAAAGTGGATAATAATGCTACTAAGGGATCCCTACTCAGTTGGCATCAGGATCTCCATGTCAATAGTCCTCACTGAAAGGAAGATCCAATGTTGTCTCCACATACTATGTGATTATAAAGAAAACTCTAGGGACATAAGAATCATTGTTTTTCATATATCATGTTCAGATTTTATATTTAGTCATAATTGTTTTCATGAGTTAAACATGAACTTAAGTACAAAGCAATATTGATATAAACCTTATTGTTTGTGTTTTTTGTGCTGGTGATAAGCCTAAGGCCTTGTCACAGGGTAGTACCAGAGTTACTCCTCCAGCTGATGCCAGCATTTCAGTACAAGTCTGTTCATATCTTGTGTTCCTACACAAGACACTCTTCTGTTTTTTCCCTTCCAGAAAGAGCCAATATCATTTTAAGTGTTTGAAATCATGACATATGGCGTGAAAAAAAATAAGCCAGATCCTAAAAACAAACCACAAATTTCCAAGGTTTTATCTGGAATGCTCTGTTGCTTCTGGGGTGTCATAAATCTTTTCTACATTGAATTATTTGTAGAATTAGCTGTTTGTGTTTTAGACAGAACTTGCTTTAACATATTTTTCATTTAAACACATCTTCATTCAATCTGAAAGGATGAAACACTATTAATTCTATTGTCTCAAATTGACAGGGAAAGTAATATTCTCTCTTCATAATCCTGAACTATAGATATTATCAAATCCATGATGAAATTTTAACTGGGCATGCTTTGTTGTCATATATTTGTTTTCCTTTACTGAATCTACTTAAAATAACGTCTTTAGAAACTCTAAGAAAATAAAAACGAGTAGCCACGCACTTGCTAGGGAATTTGTAAATGAATGAGCTACTTTCCCATCAAAGTGGTTCATATGATTATTGTTAAAACCAAATTGTTCTCATACTCACTGATATATTATCTAAAAATATCATTGCCATATACACTTAAAGTATTGTTGAGACAATGGTGAATATTACTGACAATAAATGAATAATGAAGCTTTTAAATTTTTTTGCAATATATGGAAAGCAAAGTTTAATGTATATAAATGTTTTTCATTGGAGTTTTTAATTTAATGTGTTTTCTCTTCCTGTGCTATATATAGTTCTTCAAGGAAAATCATATTAATATATTGATACTATGCAAAACTCTCATTTTCTTTTTATAAAAACATGGAGCTGTTGTTCAATTTTATTGTTTTTAATTAATCCTTTGAGAGTGGGAAAATATAAATAAAACCTGAAATGGGAGCATTTTAGGGGAAGAGGGGCACAACATTAGATCAGTAGTAACAAAAATGAATGTGAGGAACACTTGATTTTAAGGGTCATGAATGTGTTTTATTTTGGATATCATACTAATTATTTCACTAATATCATTTCCCCTCAGATTGTGACATTGAAAACCTGTATGTAGAAAATAAATGCCTTTAGGAGATTTTTTTCCATTAACTTAGTTTTCATTTTGCGTGCAAGGAAAATACCAATAGTTTAAATTTTGTTTTTGAAAGAGTGAGCTATACTTGTAATAACAGCATACATGAAAGATCAGAAGCATGTCATTAATTATAACTTTAATACAGAATATTACAGAACAAAAGGTAGTAAAAAGAGTAGCTTATGATAAAGGGGTTACTTCATTTAAAAAGAAAACTATTAAAAAAGAATCAGTTAACATTCTGTCATGTTGTTCTCACTTTTAATTTTGAAATAGATGAATTTTGAGGGTGTGAATATATAATGTGAATAATTCTACTCATTTTTGTGAATATATATATTGACATTAAAATAGAAAAAATATCTTATGAAAACACTGAAATTAAACAACTTTTTAAAATACTAGAAGGCTATGGCCATATCTGAACATTCTTGTAGTAATGCTTTTGATTTCTAAGAAACATAGGCAAAAGATTTTTGAACTCATAGTTCATTAAATGTGACTCTCAAAATATTTTATATGTGTTAATGAATTATCCAATTCATAGATTTTTTTAAACTTATCATTAAATTTGAAACAGTATCTAAAAGATACTGAAGAGATGCTGTGAAAGGGTTTACAATCAACATAATTTTAAGCAGTTATATGTATTTTACACAATATTAAATGTTTTTAAATGCAATATCTTCATATAAATTTTATGTGACACTTTGGTTTTTATGTGCCACCTTAAAACTCTAAATGATTATATTCTTTATTTCCCTAGTTGCTTTCAGAGCCACTCCTAGAAGTTTGGAGTTTGTTTTCTTTTGCCCATTTTTGGAAATAGAGTCTCACTTTGTGGCCCAGGCTGGCCTCAGTATCCTCTCCCCTCTGTCACTGGGTGCTGAAAGTCCAGAGTTGTGTACCTGGACTGTAGTCTCATGTTATATATTTTCATTCAATCACATAATATTAGTAACTTTCCAATTCTCTTAGCTAGAATTTCTTCTTCTTTTTTCAAAGAATTCTTTTATCTCATACTATTCAGATATCCTATAAGGTCAGCTAGAAAAAGCAAATTGTTTTACTTTCTCAACAAGAGAAACACAAAAAAGAGGTTCACAACAAACTTAGTGAATTTAGGATAATAATGTTTAATTTTTCTAGTCATTTTTTATTTGATGTTTAAGATTTCACTGAATACGATGTTCAAACAAAAGCAAATAACTATTCCATTTTATATAATCTATTTGTTTTCTTCCAAGTCTCCAAAACCTTCTGAAAAAAAATATAATATTCCATTTTCCTATTTTACAACCTTAACCACTTTGCATTAAATATAGAAGTATCTATAATTTAATGTATATGACCAGAATAGCATGATTTGCCTAATTTTATCCTATTTATATTATGTGATATTTAAAACAACAACAAAATAAAGCAAATCATGTGAGTTTACTGGCCCAAACCTGTAAAATTCCTCAACTTTAAAATAAGTATATACGCTTACATAAAATTTACTTTGAATATGTTTATTATAAATACAGACATCCAACAAAAGCACTAAGGGTTAGTGATGACCAAGACAAGCAAGGTCCGAGATTCTGAAATTGACATTTTAGTAGTAAAGACAAACAACAGCCATGCGTTATACTCATAATCATGTTACATACACATTACAGTTACAAGTGACTGTGACTTCACAGTAAGTGGTAAAATAAATTGGTACTGATATGATTTTAAACTGCAATCCAGAAAACTGGAAGGAACATCCATGAGAGGAGCAAGAACAAAGTTATAAGTAAGGGAGTAGCTAACAGTTGGGAATTTGGAGTGTACGAGAATATAGAGAGTGATACATAGTAGTGAGGAAAATGGAGAATCAAAGAGCATGAACAAGGCTGCGGTGATTTAGAAAAAAGTGGTAGCTCTTGGGAGATGCTAAAGACAGAGACAAGTGGAACAGTTTTGGATGATTTCAAACCAGGTTTACTCATCAGTAGTTGGGATTGGGATTGAGAATGAGGGATGAAGAAGACAGAAAAACCAAAACTAAATTTGCATTTGGGGAAGCAGCAATTGATTGAATGGCAGTGAAATAGGAGCTTTGGAGGGGAAAATCAATTTTGGCTTTGGCTATATGATGTCAGAAATAAACAGCAGCTATTCAAGTGGAACTATATGTAGGCAGCTATAGTCTTAGAGATAGCTCAGCAGTAGACTGTTTTACTTGCAAGATTGATGACATGAGTTTAAGCCCAGGAATCATCATTTAAAAAACCTAACATCATGGCACTCTTGTAATTCCACAGCTGGTAGATGTAGACAAGAAGATCCCTGAGGCTTGCTGGTCAGCCAGTTTAGCTGTAAGTTCGATGTCAGTGAAAGACCTGACTCAACATAATGGTGGACAGCAACTAAGGACACTCAAATTTGTCATCTGGCCTCTACATGTACAGGCACACACGAGCGTGCACATACACACAGTTGTAAACAGTTGTATCTGAGACTTCAAAAGAGCTATTAAGACTGGAGATCAGAATTGAAATTCATTAGTCTATATATCAGTGTTTACATTTTAAAACCAAGAATAACCCTGTACAATAGATAAAAAAATATGCCTGGGATTGAGCTTTAAAAAAAAAATCCAGTGCTTAGGGGTTAGGCAGAGAACAAGAAGTTAATAATGTAAACCAAGAAGTAAAAGGTAAGGTACAGAAAAGAGAAATGTAGTTGAGTGGGTGCTTTTAAGTCAAGATCAGGGCTAGAGAGATGGCTTAACAGTGTGTACTTGCAGAGGACCTGAGTTTGGTTTTAGCACCTACATGCAGGAGCTTAAAACAGTCGCCCATCATTGTAGCTCCAGAGGATCTATGCCCTCTTCCGGCCTCTAGGGCATTCCCACACATGTGCACATACACAGAGACACATACATACAAAGTTAAAAATAATAGAAATAAGTCTAAAAGAAAAGAAAAGAAAAAAAAGTCAAGATCACACCAAAGTAATGGTCATTGGACATGACAACTTTGTCCAGAATGCTCCTTGAAGTCCTTACTGAGGGCAGTCTCTATGAAACAGTGAAGTGAAAGCCTGCCTGGAATAGACTGAGAAATACAAAATGGAATCAGAATCTGTAAACAAGTCTTCAGAAGTATTTGTTGTGACAGAAGCCAAGAAAAAATAGGCCTGTAGCAAAGGAGCTCGGGTCAAGAGAGTTCTGGGTTTTGTGTTTTATTTTGTTTAGAGGAAGGATGCTAAAGCATATTTGCATACTAATGAGAGTGATTTGGCAGAGTGGAAACTGATTATGCAGGAGAGAAGGTAATTACAGAAAAAGGCTGAAGAGGTAGAAGGTTTGTTGGTATTCACGCTAAGTATAAAGGTTACTTTGAAAAGGAACAGGTACAAGGAACTCCAGTGCAAGGGAAAAGATTATGCACTATGCAGATAAACTGATAGATCTGTGGTAGAAAGGCAAAAACATTGCTTTGTGAGTAGTTTGATTTGAGCAAGAAAAGTCAATGTTGGGGTTGGGAAGGAAGTGTAGGATAGTTACATATATATATATATATATATATATATATATATATAATTTGCATACACATTTGATGGGACTTTATGTATAATAAATAGTGAGGAAAACATAAACTATCTCAAAGGCATCTTCATCAAATATCAGTTTTAAGATAACTTATTAGAAGACCTGACACTTTGTTTTTCAAGGACTGGAATGAGTCTTCTCTGTCCATATTGTAGAGATTGAGGATTTCTCAAGGGTATGAGTATTACTTCTGTTTCCTTACTTATGTTTGCCTGTGACAGAGAATATGGCAGAAACATTTGGTACATATTCTACTTTAAAAGCTATGAAAATTAAAATTAGTCTTGAAAGAGGTATAGTATTTATTTGGCCTGTCAATATTCTCAAATCCTATTTTGGAGGGGTTTCCGTACCCATCCAAATTTTAAAAAGAAATAAAGTAGGTGAGCAGATGTTAATATTCTAAGATAAATTGCTTTTGCTTTTGTTCCACATAGAAAACACTCAAATATTTTGCCATTTAGAAGTACATGGGCAATATAAGGTTGTTTTGTTCATTGTTCCACTCAACTTAACAGACAGGATTTTTTTTTCTTAAACAGTGCTTGGTGCTTCATTTCTGGATAAGCTGTATCTGATGTGTGGGAATTTAAAGATGCATATTGCTTCTTTGGGCTTTATGTGAAATTAGATTGTGACTAATGGGATTAGATTGTTCTCCAGATTTTTGCTGTTCTAGCATAACCAAAATATATATAAGTATACATGTAAATGTTTATCTGCTTAAACACTTTAGATATTTAAATGGCCACCTCAAATTTTAAATGGTAGACATTTTCAATGCACTCAAAATATTAAGAATGAAAGTCTTTGTGACACAAACCCTAAAAAAAATAGTAAATTATGTATTTCTTTTTTTATTGTTTTCTTGAGACAGGGTTTCTCTGTGTGACAGTCCTAGCTGTCCTGAAACTCATTTTGTAGCCCAGGCTGGCCTCAAACTCACAGAGAGTGTGCCTCTCTCTGCCTCCCGAGTACTGGGATTAAAGGTGTACACCACCGCCGCCTAGCTAGTGTATTTCTATAAAATACCTAGATAACATCTGTCTAGAAGAACTTATTTAATCTCTCACAGAGATTATATCTGACTAATCAAAAACTACAGTCATAATATTTTCCTTCCACAAGTTAAAGACTTTCAATGTCTTTCTTTGTAAACTGACCTGAAGCTATTAATCATCAAATGTGAGCATTATAGCCATCTATTCTTGCAAGAGAGTATGTATCTGTTTATGACAATGAGGAAGAATAGCACCACATGATGTTTTCTCAGTTTGGAATCATATCACTATTTAGGGCATATGTTTCCTCCCAAGTTGTTTATACAATCTGTTTTCTTCTTAGTTGTAATTATTATATGGTAGAGACACAAATGCAGCAAAATGGTGTTACTCAAACTGCAATCCCACCTACTACCTACTTGACCATAGTAGAGGAGTAGTCCAGATTGATTGGAAAGTGGTACTATTTTCATCTTATAAAAATCTACTATAATATTCATGTAAATTTTCATGTGCTGGCATGCATACAAGTTAATAGTGTTATAGAATGTCCAGCTCTCAATATGAGGGATTGTTTATGGTAAATTGCATTATGTATGTCATCTATTTGCTGAAAGAATATGGTGTTTAGCAAAACAACCTGCTGAGCAACATAGTAAGATTTTTGTACAAAGTACAAATTGCTAATTACTGTATTTTATTTTTCTATGATTTCCTAAAAGGCATTATCAGGGTCTTACAGATGGAGAAAGCCTGTTTATTAAAATATCTATTACCAAATAAAAGTTACAGTTTTGGTGGTTGAATTTGTGACGTTTTGTACTGTTATATGCAAGTATATTATTGTAATTTACTAATTTACTTTTTAGTATATACTTCTAGGTATTGTTTAGAACTTTAATAATTCTGTATGCAAAACATAGTTGTAATTTTTCAAAATAATTACAGACTTTGAGGTCTAGGCATAAATTCACACATATCACTATAATTAATGGATACATATTTTTGTAGTGATTTTATACTGGCAAATATTTTATGAGATTCAGATGAATGAAATTATGTATTACAGAGGTAGTTTATACACATACACATATAGCACACCCACAATATCAACTGTTCTAACAAATCTTTAGACCATCACTAAAGATTTCCATCGAAAAATATCCAATAAATTATAAATCTGAGATTTTCCAGATTCCTTGTAAGTTGCTAATAAGAAAATACATCTGAGAGATGGCTCAGAGGTTAAGAGCACTGACTGTTCTTCCAGTTTAATTCCTAGCAACCACATGGTGACTCACAACCATCTGTAACGAGATTTGGTGTCCTCTGCTGGCATGCAGGCAGAACACTGTACACATAATAAATAAATCTTAAAAAAAAAGAAGAAAATACATCTGCACTATTCTGAGTTGATCCAATGTATCTCAGACTTTTATAATTGTTGAACTGTAGTTCCAACAAGCCACTGTGACATGAAAGGTGGTATCTAAAACTCTCTTAGACATGTGTCTTAAGTAGACTTGAGAAAATTAATACTGTTTTCAAAGCTTGTTGTGCTCACAATAAAATCAAGAAAGTCAAATTAACTTTTTAAGTCAAATGGAATAATTTTATGTCGTGTTTCTGGGTAAACGCTAGAGAGGTTACAGCTGCCAACCATCAAAACAGCAGATGCAAACATCTGAAATATTTACATTATTTTAGGGTTCATCTTTTCAATGTTTTCTGGATCACCAAATAGAATTTAGGCATCGTGTGAACTCTTTAATCTCTAATAACAATAAAATAAATTATTAACTACACTTCTCTAAAGTAACTGTTCTCCTTATAGTTAAAATCATCTAAGTTGAGGATGAAGCGGTGGCTCAGTGGTTTAAAGCAATGTGGCTCTTACAGAGGAACTAGGTTTGATTCTCAGCACTCACATGGTGGCTCACACCCATCCCTAATTCCAGTCCCAGGAGATATGATGCCCTCTGCTGGCCTCTTCCTGAATCAAGTACTCATGTGGTGCATATACATATAAACAGACAAAACACATAAAATAAAATGAATAAGGCCAATAAAGTATCATCTAAGTTTACTATAAAGTTGGTTGTTCAGTCTGTCTCTTATATTTGAGTTTTCTCCAAATGCTTTGTACCAAGAAAAACTGAACTCAGCTTAAAAGAGGCAAAGGAAAAAAAAATTCTAGCACATAAGCTCTATGCTATGTCTAAGGGGAAAATACTATATAAGCATCCACATTTTGTTAAAGTGAGTCACAATATTCAGGATCAAAGAGAAGTGTTTAATAGCTCCCTGTAAATGTGTCTGGTGTCAGAAGTTAAAGGACAACCACATCAGGGATTGAGTTGATTTTCTTTGGGTAACAAAAAAAAACTCAGGACAAAGGAAAGTACTGACTGAACACTTGCTAACAATCAGACATGTATACTTTTCTTTCTTAAGTCCTCAAAACCACTAGATAAAATACCTTTTTGAAGATGAAATACATAGATGGGTTAATTTTTCTAGACTACAAAGTATAGCATATATCCATTATCTATTTTAACAAGGACATTCATGCCATTGTTTTACATACACACACACACACACACACACATCAGTTTTCTTCACTCAGTTTGTTTTTTGCCTTCCAAGCGTCAGGGGATCAGAACTACACCCTATTCCATGTTATGAACATCTGGGAATTTGGAAAGGCAATAGAAAAAGCACTCCATAGTAATACACGTTCAAGTGTCTTTACCACCAAGTCTTTGGAATTCCTTTCAGTTTCCTTCCTTCCTTTTTTTTTTCCACCTCCATAGTCAAGTTACTAGGTCAGATTAAAAAAAAACAAGTATGGTAGTTAAAAATACCGCTAGCTAGTGAAAAGGTAAAATAACATCTCACACTTATGCTACGAAGTGAAATGAAGAGATGAAACTTTAAAAAAAATGTAGAGATGAAATTTTTAAATACAAGTTTGTCATGAGAATCATCCGTTGAGGAGGAGGAAAAAAAACTAGCTTGAAAGGCTGACAAAAATTTCTTAGATCTTTAAAAACCGTTGTATCTATGGCCTGTCCATTGGAAAGCAATGCAACTGTGAGGGACCGTGTCTATCCAAAATCTTTCAATTAGTACAATTTATTTCTATTGCTATAAATCCCAAGTGAATTTAAGAAGGTTAACTTTAAGTATTGATTAGCAAAAGCTTTTCCTGGCCACCAGGCTCTCTGATTCCGAGGACTGTAATCAGAAATTCATGCTGGGTGTTAATCTCTCCAGGACAACAGACCGCTTAAGAGTCAGGGACAGGATCACACTTTCTTTGCCAAAGGTCTCTGGCCTTTTTAACAGTAACTATGTTGTTTACACCAGTTCCCCTCCTCTCCTGCCCATGCTCAGTGCTATACTTCCGCAGGACTCGCTCTCAGGCCTAGCTGAGCCCAGGGAAGGGTCTGTGATGGGAGGCAGAACCGTATCCACGCAGACCCCCTCCCCACACCACGCCACGCTCTGCGGTTGAGTGGCAATCACCCCAAATCTGTGCCAAGGGCTTGGCGCTAACCAGAACCGGGGCGCCCAGGACGCCATCTCCCAGCGATGTGCGAGCAGCCAAGGCCCCGGCGGCGCACTACCCAGCAGGCTGTGCGCCGGCCTACAACGCCCAATCCCGTCCCAGCCGCGACCACTGGACTCCCAGCGAATTGGGACAGGCTCCCCGTGTTTTCTATGCTTTCTCTCTCTCATAGAACTCCTCTGCTGGAATCAGGCCATTTCTGCCCGGAGATCTTCAGCCGCACAAGGAAGACCTCTAACAGCCAACTCGCTGCAACGTCCGAGGAGGCGGGGCTTTGGGAACCGGAAGAGGCTCCTGTTGCCAAGGGAACGCCGCGCGCCTTGGAGTCCGCTCCGCCACTGATGCTCCCGTCCAGGCCGAAGCCGCCGGTTCCCCCAACTTGTAGGAGAAGCTGTGCTCAGGACACGGGAGCCTTCATACCGAGGCGTAGAGAGGAAGGCTGAGGCTCTCAGGGAAGATCCCACCGCGGCAACGGGTAGAGGAGTGCGTCCATTCCGGTCCTTGTCAGCCTTTGGGCTTTTGGATTGGCCTCAAAAGATCAGGTATCTCCGCCCGCACCCAGGTTTTTTTTGTCTGTCTTCCTCTCCGCCTCTGTGTTATCTCTCAGCTCTGTTGGGTATAATTTTACACACTATCCGTTTCACCCTTGTTAAGTGGACGCTACCTTGCTGCTGTGGTTGTAGCGCTATGGCACGGTCGCCAGGATCCACTACTTCGAAAAGTTCCGGCTACCTGTTTGTAGCCGTTTCCACCCCGGTAGCCAGAGGCCACCCTCTCCCGGTCCGATTTAGAATAAATTATTGCCCATGTTTTTCATTCCAAACGAGTGACTGTCTCTAATCTGTGAGATGGAGAAAGGCAATTGAGTTTATATGGTGAATACTAAGGAGCCTCGAAAATGTCTTGAACTGCTTTTGGCGAACGCTGTTTGTTGGCTTGCTTAATTAATTGACTTTAAAGCTGCCCAAACAAGCCTTTTTGAATGATGTATGAATTATTTAGTTGAAATTTCTTCATCGAATATTTAAAACTGAGTAAGATTGTTTAATTGCGGTAGCAACAGTCCACACTCCCAACGTGCTTAAAGTTTACAAAATAGCATTTCTGGAGAGTTTTTCTATCTAATCTCATCTCTCTGCAGCTTCCCTCCAAGCATTTACGTGTGGATAACATGCTAATTCTTCGGTGCTTTTCTGACTACCAGTAATCCTTTGGAAAGTTAATTCTCAGGAAGCAGCTAGGAGAATTTGGCTGATGTATATATAAAGGCAAGAGTGAGATGAGAAACTGAAAAATATCAGCCAGACTCTGAACAAATGAACAGAACCTTGAAACATATGCACGGCCCATTGCCTTAAATATTGTAGGACAGAAAGGTTCGACAATCTAAAAAGTCACACTGGAGTAGTGCAGTGCCAGTGTTTAAACCTACGTGTTCTTGATTCGAGTACCAGAGTTGTTTCATTTTAGAAAGTTTACTTTAGCTATCAATTCTGCTAACATTATACAGTACATATAGTAAGACTTTTAAAGCTGAAGGTATATTTTTTTCCTAATCTAGTCAATACGCTGTTCTTCCTATCTGTTAGGGCAGTCTTGTCTCAACTCACTATCAGCTTTCTACCTAGTTCTTAAACAAAGATGTTAATAAATCTTTAGAAGTTTTAGTTTTAGTGTTCTCTCTCTCTCTCTCTCTCTCTCTCTCTCTCTCTCTCTCTGTGTGTGTATGTGTGTGTGTGTGTGTGTGTGTGTGTGTGTGTGTGTGTGTGTGTGTGTTCATGTAGTGTAATGCCCACCGAAGCCAGAAGAGGGTGTGACTACCCCTGGAACTAGAATTACAGGTGCTTGAGAACCTCATTCTTTGATTGTTGGGAACCAAACTCCGGTCCTCTGGAAGAGCAGCAAGCCCTCTTAACTACTGTGTTATCTCTCCAGTATAATTTTTAATTTTTTCCCCTCTTTTGCAGGTTTAAGATCAAGGACTTTTGTACATTGTAGGCAAACAAGCACTTTATCATTTTACTACGTAATTAGTCCCTAAGATCATACTTTTCTTTTAAAAAGTTTAAATAGACATGAGTTGTGAAAGTATAAAGCTAATTTTACCCTAGTTCTAGCCCTATTGTAGTTTTTCCCCCTTTGTTGTGGGGGTTAATTGCATAAAAAATGTAATTGATAGTGAAAGTGTAAAGCCTTAAGCAAAGCTCAGTTGCTTTAGAAAAGTTCTAATTGTAGAAGTTCACTGAGATATATATAGTTTGGCACTGGGCAAGTTTTTGCTTGAGTGGCTATCTTAATCTAGTTGTGTGATGTTTTATTAGTGAGTTCATTACATTAAGATGATTTTATTGTTAAAAACCTTAAACTATTATTTTGAAGAAATTCAAAACAAAATAAAGAATCAAGAATGGCTGAGAATACTTTGTGATAAATGTTCTTAACTGTCTATTATTCAACAACAAGCTTTATAGTTCACTGTTAGTGCTGCAGATTATTCTCAAATTGCTCTGATTTTCTCTCTTATTGATTTGCTAGTCTTCCTCAATCTCAGGAAGTGTTTGTTTCTTCTTAAGCTTTTTATGGACTTATTTTAGGTTAGTTGTACTTAGCCTTGGGAAAACTTTGTTGTTCAAGATCTCCCTTTCTCCAAATTAAACAAAAATAAGGAGAAAATAAAATTAGAACATCTATCCCATGAAAACACAAACGGTTTTGGAGCACAGTTCCCCTCAAATTGGAAGAAACTGTTAAATCCCTCATTTTCTGAAAAGGAGACATTAATGAAAGGATACTTGCGGGTTGACATGACAGAATGCTGTGGTGTGTGAATTCGGAGACTGTGGCATGAACAGACCAACACAAGAACAGACCAGCTTCCCAGTTCATTTCCCAAAGGGTTCCCATGGCCAAGTACTCACCAAAAACAGTGCTTCCTTTTCCCTCTCTTGGAGATTTACAACTAGTGTCAGCATTTAAAAGAGTGGAACACTTTTGAAGCTCGTTTAAACTCAGAATCTAAAATTTCTCAAATTTAAGTGACCTTGAGATTCTTTTAAAAGTAATCCCCAAGAATTATCTTCCAGAGAATATAGTTTAGATTGTACAGAATTGAGAACCTACTAGTAGACCCAAACATGTGTTAGAATACACAATGAGAGAAACATTAGTCAATAAGGGATGATTAGAAAAACAATGAAACTAGAAAAAAAAATGACTGCCTGTATTATAAAACAGAAAGAGGGAGGGATGGAGAGGAGAAGGGCAGCCAGTTCTCTGAATCATTTCTCATACCCAGGTAAGGTTCAGACAAATTAGAATTTAAAATCTGAAAAATAAACTGCAAATATAGGAAACAAAATATTAGCGAATGTGTTTAAAATACTGGAGAGAGGGAATGTTTCTAGACCTGAAACTGAAGAAACAGATGAACAACAACAACAAAAACCTATCAGTAGCATCAGATAAAAATCATGTATTACAAAAACATAAGGGAGCCGGGCGGTGGTGGCGCACGTCTTTAATCCCAGCACTCTAGAGGCAGAGGCAGGCAGATCGCTGTGAGTTCAAGGCCAACCTAGTCTACAGAGTGAGATCCAGGACCATAAAGGAAAATTTTATTTGACTAAAATGATTCGGAGTTCATATACATGGAAAGGGTTCCTATATACAGTAATCAAAGGAGTAACTATAAAATTTGGTCAGTAGCTCATAAAAGAAACACCAATAAGAAGCAAGTTTTGCAGTAATCTTCAGTTTTACTATTGATGAAATGAATGCAAATTTAAACAGTGCTGTGGCTGGGCAGTGGTGGCGCAAGCCTTTAATCCCAGCACTCGAGAGGCAGAGGCAGGCAGATCTCTGTGAGTTCGAGGCCAGCCTGGGCTACCAAGTGAATTCCAGGAAAGGCGCAAAGCTACACAGAGAAACCCTGTCTTGAAAAACCAAAAAAAAAAAAAAAAAAAAAACCAGTGCTGTGATAGGATTTTTCATTTTGTAGATAAGAAAAAAATTGAAAAGCTGACTTCTCTTTAAAATTGTATATTCCAAAATATTTCAATAGTTATCCTCAGGTGTTTGAAAAATGATAGAAAGTCACAAAAAGCTTGGAAAATGAATATCCATGATAGAACTTTTAACAATTAATGCTTGTAGTACTTTCCTAGAGAGGGGACATGAGAAAGAAAATAGGTCATAGTTTTGAAAATATGATAAAAATTATATGGAAAGTGAAAAATATATAAGTATTTATATTAATATGCTTAGCACAGTATAGGACTTAATAGCAAATTGAAATTAAAATGGTAAATATGAATTGTTTCATATCACAAGTTAAATTTAAAATAGATTCATCAAGTGCCAACTCTTAAGCTGGGATTCAAAGAAATGTTTTGAAATAGGCTTTGAATCTCTAATATGAAAAGGTTTTGAACTGGGACATAGGGAGGTAGCTAAGGTCAAACCCATCCTTTGGATAAGAAAGACAGCTTTCTTGTAGGCCCCACCCTTGAGGGAGGCACTGTGCCTTGAAGGCACATCATTGATAGAGATCTCCCAAAGGCACTAAGCAAAACGTCAGCTATGCAGCCACTTTTCTTATGGCATTTGACTTAGAAGCTTCCTATTGATTACCTGCTATAGCCTTACCTCTCTCAACATCCCTTGCTTCGGGTGCTATAGAGTAAAAAAAATATGAAAAGAACTGTAGCATGACAGACTTATATGAACTTAAATGAACATGAGAATCAATGAAGTGAATTAATGGTCTCAGGAACTTTGGAAATTAATGTTGAGAGAAAAAGGGAAGTATTTATTACCCAGGTATATTGTGGCAGTGCCAGTAGTACTGGGTGGCTGGCAAAAGAGTAGTTTTCTTCTCCTGTCATAGTAATATTTAGGGTTTGATGAAACCAAAGGAGAGCTCCTTTAAAAACTTCCTTTGGAGATGTGGGGTGTGAATTTAACAGTGCTGGCCTTGAGGGAAAGGAACAGATGTAAAGCTGCGAAAAGCAAGCAATACATCAGCAGCAGTTTTATTTGACTTCAGAGTACTTCTGTCTTGTATTGCTAATGGAATTAATTTTTGAGGAGTTGTTTTGGGGGAGTTGTTCTTTAAGTTTGCTTTAGAAAGTTATATAGTTTGGATTTTTTTAAAGTATAATATTTTTAATTTATTCTTTAAGAATTTTATACTTGTAGCTGGGTGGAGGTGGTACAGGCATTTAATCCTAGCACTTGGGAGGCAGAGGCAGGAAGATCTCTGTGAGTTTGAGGCCAGCCTGGTCTACGAAGCAAGTTCTAGGGCTGCCAGGACTGTTACACAGAGAAATGCTGTCTCAAAAAACCAAAACCAAAACAAAACAAAAAAAAATTGTACTTGTATACAATGCATTTTGATTATCTCCACCCCGTGCTCTCCAACTCCAACTCTTCCTAGACACCCTCCCCCATGATGTTGCCCTCCCAACTTTATGTCCTCTTCTTTCTGTTCTTTGAAAGTAACCCAGTGAGCACAATTAGTGTGCTATTATGCTCATGGGTATAGAGCTATCTATGTGGGCAACCAGCCAATGGCCACATCCCTGAAGGAAACTGGCTCTCCCTAACAGCCATCCACTGCCAGGAGCTTCTCTGAAAGGGGAGTGGCCTGGTGAGCCCTTCCCTAATCCATGCTGGAATGTTACCTGGTTTGGGCAGTTCTTGTGTGGACAATCACAGCTGATAAGAGTTCATGAGTACATTGGCCTTGTCATGCCCAGAAGGTTGTGCTTTGGCACGCCCCTCTCCAACTGCTGGCCTGTACAGCCTTTCTGCCTCCTTTTCTAGAATGTTCCCTAAGCCTTGGGAGGAGGGATGTGGTATAGATAGATGTCCCATTTAGAGCTGAACACTTTACAGTCACTTGCTCTCTGTACTTGGATGGGTTGTGAATCTCTGTATCAACAGCTATCCACTGCAAAAAGAAGCTTCTCTGAGAAGAGTTGAGGACTGCTTTAATCTATGGGTATAATGATAAAAGTGTAGGGAGCAGTTTATTACTGTGTCCAGTAACAGTAGTAGGCTTTTCCCTATGACCTCCCCATTCACAGGTTCTTGGTTAGGTTTGTTGTACCAGGCTTGAGTTTCTACCTGAAAAGCAGGCCTTAAGTTCAATCAGAAAGCAGTTGGTTACCCCCACAGTCTTCATGTCGTTCTTGCCTGGGTATAGCCTATCAGATTGGTCGTTATAATAGCTCTCAGGGTTTACAAATGAGGAAGACTTTTAATGACTTTTTGCCCCCCAAAGTCTGTGTGGCACTTTCCTGTACTATGAAAGCTAGCTATCAGGGAAGAAGCCTTTGGTCAGTGCCAGCTGGATTTCTCCATATCTTGTGGCTAAAATGTGTGGTGTCTTCAGCAACAGTGTCTTAACATCAAGTTCCTATGGGCAACCGGGAGCAATGGCAATGGCTGGTATATTGTTTGGGGTGCTCTGAGATTCCCTTCCTGGACCAGCAACTGGAAGGGAGATATCCCACACCTAACAGTAATAATAAATACTCCTTGAAGGCCTGTGTCTTAAGAGCTTAGTCTCCAACATTGGGGACTGTGTCATGGACTGTAGCGTCTAAAATTGTGAGCTGATTTATCTCAACATTTGTTATGGGAGCAGAAAGCTGACTAAGACAGATATTCCCCTTAAAAAATGATTCAGTTGAGCACCCAGGGGACAAGTTAAAAAAATAGATGTGTGTGTGTGTGTGTGTGTGTGTGTGTGTGTGTGTGTGTGTGTGTGTGTACAGCTGTCCTATGTACTGCCTTCTTCTTTCTGCAAGCTGATGACAAAAAGCTTCAGAGTTCTTTAAAGAAACCGGCTGCGAACAATATAGCTGGTATTGAAGAGGTGACCATGATTAAAGACGATGGAACAGCTCTTTATTTCAACAGTTCCAAAGTCCAAGCTTCCCTCTTCACTAATACCTTTGCAATTACTGGTCATGCAAAAGCCAAACCAGTCACAGCAATGCTTCCTGGAATATTAAGTCATCTTGGTGCTGACAGCTTAACAAGCAATAGAAAGTTAGCTGAATAATTCCTGTGACAAGTATTGGATAGTAAAGGACAAAAACTAGAAAATATTGATGAAGAGGATGATGATGTTCCAGATCTTGTAGAAAATTTTGATGAAGCATTGAAAAATGAAGCTGACTAAAATCCCCTGGGATCTGGAGCCTGGCATGGACTAGAATTAACAATCAGCTCTGTTGTTCCAAAGTTTTACAGACACAGAGAACATCATCTGTTATTAGTCAGTAATATAAATACTTGGATATTAATAATGCTGTTTGTTCAGCATTTCTTGGTCATTTAATTTTGCATTTTTCACTTTTTCCCAGGATCTATTCTTTTGGTCAAAATATGAAGTATTGGTATAGTTTGAAGGTGGTTTTTTGTTTTTTTGGGGGGAACTTTTGGTATGCATGGATATGTATGTGTGGGGATATATGTATGTGTGTACATAGTGGACAGCAACTTGGTAATATCTGTCATCTTCCTTCCCCCAGTAGAAGTAAAACAAATCTTTACCAAAAAAAGGGAAAGAAAAAGAAAACATTGAATTTAGTAAGATTGACTAAAATTGTGAAGGAGTGTATCCATTATTCCCAAAGAATTAATGGTGAATTGAAGAGATATAGAAGAGATAGGTGAAATCAGGATAAATATCCTGTCTCTATTAGTAGATAACCTTACCTAAACTGGAAATAATCCTGCAGAAAACAGAAGCAGTGACGTTTTTATAATTACATATTATTTCAAAATAGAACCATGGCCTCATTTCAGATATTGATCTAGCAGTTAAGCTGATGTAGCTAAACCTTGGGGCTCTTGGTTTTCTTGTCTTCTACTTTTTGAGTTTTAGCCTCCGACGGTAGCTGAGTCTCATTGCCTCTGTAGTGTTCCGTGTTTACCAGACTCTCATTCATAAATAACTTTGAAAACTGCAATTTGCAGACTCCACATGATACTGAAGTTGACAAAAGCTTCTTCTTGAATATTATAAATGTGGTTGTGTCAGGGATGTTATTCCTGCTGTCAAGGTTTATAAGCTGCCAGTCTGCATTTCAGTCAAGGCTCCTTTCTGATAATCGGCTTATTGTGTTTACTTGGAGTTAAGCCACACCGATGTATTTGTGTGCTGCCATTATCCTTACATTTTTTTATGTACATACTAACGTATTCCATATGTAAGGTACCATTGGAATAATCATTTCTTTTCCCTTGCAGTTGCTTTGTAAATATTTAAATCACATTATGGGATTGCTGGACAGACTTTCAGGTTTACTTGGCCTGAAGAAGAAGGAGGTTCATGTTTTATGCCTTGGCCTGGATAACAGTGGCAAAACGACAATCATTAACAAACTTAAACCTTCCAATGTGAGTATCTCTGTAAAGCTTGACTCTGTCTGATACTAGTGAAAGCTATGTGCAGCATGAAGTTCTAGCTTCCTATAATCTTGTAAAGTCCTGTTAATATTACTGTTGCTTAAGGGGTTGCTTGATGCGTATACCACATATTTCTGCAATATGCAGGTGAGTCTTGATTGTTAAGCTGGAATATTCTCTTTATCTTCCTTCATATTTCTCTAAAGAGCTTCCCAAATTGACTAAGTTTATTTATAGGTTGCACTGACTTTGCTTAAATTTCTTCTTCATGGGAAAAACAAAACAAAAGGAAAGATGCATCCTATTTCTAAATTCTTTGGATAATTAGACAGTGCTGTGCATATTGGTGACAGACAGTGATTTTGAGCAACATATTATGAAAATATTATTTTATTGCTGAAAATCTATAAAGCTAGCAATGCAACATATGATTCATAAGTCAGAAGTAGGCTTTGTTGCATATAATTCCTGATATGATTTACTGAACCTTAAGCTGTAACTGTCCTGGTTCAGAAAAATTGACCTGAAGACTTTAGGAGAGATTTGCTTGCTTCCCCCACCTGCCCTTTATCTCTAGAAATAATAGCCAAAAGGTGTTATTGAATTGGAAGTCTAGAAGCTCCATACTTTTGTTACTCAGGTGTAGGTTTTACATTTTTCCCATCTTATTTTAAATTCATCACTTGTGAGCTTTCATCTACATTTGGGTGCTATTTTTAGTTAATTAACTGTATTAATCTTAGGATCTACAGTGTTCTGTTAGGAAAAGCCTTCTAAGACTGTTCCACGTTGTCTCCTTGTATATATAAATAAAATTAATTTTTTTAGATAACTAGATTTTAGACTCAAACTTATTTTTAAGAATAATTTATCCTAGTGTTGTATTAAAATGATAAATATCCTCAGCTGAGAGGGTATTCACCCATTCACTCTATGTAGGAAAGAATGTAGTTTGGGTATATGCCTTTAATCCTAGCACTGAGGAGGCAGAGGCATACCAATCTCTGAGTTCCAGGCCAATCTGGTTTGTCTGCATAGAGTGCTCCAGGTCAGGTAGGACTGCATGATGAGATCCCACTTTGGGTAGGGAGGGAGAAAGCATCTAGTTTTATCTTGAAAATTTCCTAGGCAATTTGCATATTCTTTTGATAGTGTGCTACATATTCAGTTGATACCTTGTGTATTATATTTCTCCTCAGCATCAAAGAACTCTTGAGTTGTCAAGCATTGAATAACAAATACCTAGAACAAGGATTAGCACTTAAATATATTTTAGATGGTAGGTGAACAGATTGATGGCTGTTATTATTATTATTATTACTATTATTATAGTTATCATCATCATCTTTGGCCAGGGGATTTTGTTGATTACATGGAGATAGGATTTTTAGCAGAGTTGATGAAACTAGGATTTCTCTTAAATTCTGCTCTTATCCTGTTGATACTGGTCTAGTCACTGCTGACTCAAATGGTCCAGGCTACCCTCCTTCCTTTCTTGTTGCCATTCCAGTCCAATGACTGGATGTATTTGTTCCTGGGTAAAGCAGAGAGAAATTAATATTAGAGATGACTCTGCTGGGAAGATGGGAATGAGAGTGTGCTTGTTATGTGTGTAAAGAAAGGTATGTGCATGTGTATATATATTCATATGCACATGAAAGCCAGAGGTTGACTCAGGTTTCTGCCTCAGTTTCCCTCCACCTTATGTTTTCAGCCATTATCCCTCACTGAATCTGAAGCTCACAGATTCTGCTGGAGTGGCTGGCCTATGGACTCCAGGATGTCCGTCCACTGTATCCATTTCCTGAGTGTGTGCTGTGCCCAGTCTTTACTCTCTATTACTGTAGGGGAAAATGTGTTCCATATGAATCTACTCTATCCTGGTTAACATCTGGAGCTTCTTTTGTGGATTATTTCCACTAGAACCTTGGAGAAGAAAAAGTTGAGGGATTTTATCCCTTCAGGCTAAATTTTAAAGGGGAGTTTGTGGAGAACCTAGGTAATTATGGAGAGGCAACTTAAGTGTTCAAGTGATAATTCATTGAAGACACTTGTTACTATTTGGTGTATTTTTCTGTGATTTCATTAAATTTTTAACCTTTATCATGTGTTCATGAAAAAAACAAAAACAAAAACAAAAACCTTTTTAAGTGGTAGAACCATGGGAAAAACAACAAAATTAAGAAGTACTTTATTCCAAAGCTTGTTGTTCAAGACACCTCAGAGTAATGAGGCAAGAACCTAAGTGCCACAAAATAATTTATTTTTCTAGCAAACAAAAAGCAATACTTTGGGGGAAATATTTATGCAGCTCAAAGGCTGGGTATAAGGAAAAGCTGAGTAAACAGACTTGGGAGAGTTCTGGTCGCAGCACATTACTATTAAGGTTCCCATGCTCCAGTTCGTTTTCAGCTTCTCTCCCATTTGGATTTCAATTTTGCAGAAGTAGAGTACCCAAGTGAGCATGGTAATGTGAGTCAAATTTTCCCTTCTTCTACTTTTAATCTCACATAAAAGTAACAAGACCTTTTTTATTTTGTTATTCTTAAGGCCAATATGGGAAAACATAGGAATAAGACTAACCAAAATGAGAGTATAATTATAATAATAGCACACATTTGTGGAATGTTTATAGACACCATGTTGAGTATTTTGTACCTATTAGCTCATTTAATTCTCATAATAACTTTATGAGCATGATAATATAGTTGACATTTAAGCAAACCTAGGCTTAAATAACTTGTTCCAGGTGGCATAGCAAATTAGGAGTAATTAGGAGGCTATTGTAATTCAAAGCAACAAATGGAAAGGTGAATTCTAAGGTAATGGCACAGAGCCAGGAAAACTTAGGGAAGGAGTGGTTTCATACATGGCATGTAACAAAGAAGGAGTTAACAACTTCTAAGCATCTGGATCGTAAAGTGGATACATTTTTGTTTAAATGAATGAACCGTTTTGATGATGGAAATTCTAGGAGGCATTTAATGTGTTCAGTTATCAATATATTTTTGAATGTCTGTGAAACCTGTCAAAGTATGTCCTGCTGTTCTTGTGGCCCTGTTCCACAGGGTTCTACAGGATTCTTCATGTAGAACTTCCTGCCAGAGCCATCATGACTCCACCTAGCTTCCTTCAGTCTGTATCACTCTTTTATTTAGCAATGTGCTTTAGGAATGCATGCCTTCTATTTTTCCTCAGTAGCAAGTTCCTGAGGTCATTTTACTCTTTGCATTTACTGGAATATTCTTTGCCAAGAACTTGCCCTGGGGCTTCCACTACCTACTATTTGCTCCCTAGCACTCCACATCCATGTTGTCATATGTTGATGGTTGCTTACATTTTCTATCTGATGAGCTTCTTGAGAGCAGGGACCAGGCAGACATGAAGACAGACAATCCCAAACATACATAAATTGAATGTACATAAGTTCAATAAACATAATGTAGCTAGAGTTTTCCTGCCTGGCCCACAGTCAGGACAAATCTCTCTCACCTGCCTGTCCCACAGCCGCTCAGACCCAACCAAGTAAACACAGAGACTTATATTGCTTACAAACTGTATGGCCGTGGCAGGCTTCTTGCTAACTTTTCTTACAGCTTAAATTAATCCATTTCCATTAATCTATACCTTGCCACATGGCTCGTGACTTACCGGCATCTTCACATGCTGTTTGTCATGGTGGCGGCTGGCAGTGTCTCTCTGACTCAGCCTTCTACTTCCCCGCTTTATTCTCCTTGTCCCGCCTATACTTCCTGCCTGGCCACTGGCCAATCAGTGATTTATTTATTGACCAATCAGCAACACATTTGACATACAGAACATCCCACAGCAACATAATGTGTAGAGTAACTAAGAAGTTCAACACAGGAACTCCGAGTGACTTTTTAAACCACTTATGAAAACCTGCCTACCTTGTTTAATAAGACAAAATGTGAATTCAAACATACATGTTATACCAATTCATAATTGGCAAGTAAATCTTGCATTTTTATAAGTGATTTTACACATAGTGACCCTATTACAAAAATTA